CCTCCTCTCTTCTACCTCTTCCTTCCCTTCTTTCCTCTCTCCCCTCCTTCCCCTTTTACTTTTTTGTCTTTATTTTCCTCCCCTTCTGCCACACTCACTTCTTCTCCTCCTTCTCCCTCTCCTTCTGAATTACCCAGGACCTTTGCCCTGGGATACAGCACAGCCCTTTTGTATTTTTAATTTTGAAACAGGGTCTCACTATATCACTAAGTTGTCCAGGCTGGGCTTGAAATTGCGATCCTCCTGCCTCAGCCTCTCAGAGTTCTGGGATAATAGGCGTGTACCAAAACACTACTAATTCGTCTTCCTCTCCTCCTCTTCCTCTTTCCTTCTACACTTTTTCCTCTTCTCCTTCTCCTTTTCCATCTTCTTCTTGCTTTTTTGTTTGTTTGTTTGTTTGTTTTTTGGTGCAGGGGATCAAACTCAGGATCTTGTGCTTTTGAGGCAGGTGGCAGCACCACTGAGCCACATCCCCTGCTCATCTTCTTCTCCCTTTCCTTCTCCTCATCCCCTCGCCCTCACCTCCCCCTCCCTAGGCTGGACTTGAATTTGGGTGGGCGATCCTCCTGCCTCAGCCACCTGAGTGCTGGGATTACAGGTGTGCACCACACCCGGCAACAGCTTTTGGTTTTATTGATTCTTCTATGCCGGTTTTCTTTTTGCTATGTACATATTTTTGCTCTTATCTTTTATTTCTTGCTTGCTTCACATTTATTTTGCGCTCTTCTAATTTCTTGGGGTGGAACACAAAAATCTTAACCTCAAGTGTGCCCTCCTTTTGGGGTGCTTGGTCACATTGTACTTGTAGATATCACGGTATTTACAAAGTGACAATGACAACCTTTCATGGAACAAGGTTCTGGGGGCCATGTTTTTAAGCAGCTGAGACGATTGTTAACATTTTTTAGTATAAAGCATTTTTAAATTAAGATATGGCCGGGCGCACGCCTGTCATCCCAGCACCCGGGAGGCTGAGGCAGGAGGATCGCTGTGAGTTCGAGACCAGCCTGGGCTACACAGTGAGTTCCAGATCAGTCTCAACTACATAGTGAGACCCTGTCTCAAAAAAAAAAAAAAAAAAAAGTTAAGATACATACTTTCGTAGACACAATGCTATGGCACACTTAAGAGACTACATTCTGGTGAAGTCTCACGTTCATATGCACCGAAAAGCCCCCACACTGGTGTGACTTGCTTTATTGCAATAACTACTTTCTGGAACCGAACCCATCGCATCTCTGAAGCACGTGTGTGCATTTTGTTGTTGCTGTTTGTTTGTTTGTTTGTATTCATACAGTGGATCAAATTCTAAATCCCCCACCCAGAAATGATGGAAGCTTAAAATATAATTGTGCAATTGTCGACTTCTCCTTTGTTCTGCGTTTGATTCTGCTTTAATTCTGTATTTCGTGAGTAAATATGTGATTATTGTGTTATCTTCGTAAATCAATTCTCAGATCGTTATCAATTTCTCTCCTTCACAATGAACTACAATCCCTAGCCCTTTTGAAATTTTGAGATAGAGTCACTAATTCACAAAGCTCCCCAGGCTGGCCTGGAATTTGCAATCCTCCTGCTTCAGCCTCCAGAGAAGCTGAGATTTGAGACTGCCCTGGAACTCACTATGTAGCCCAGGCTGGTCTCGAACTCACAGTAATCCTCCTGCCTCAGCCTCCCGGATACTGGCATTACAGGGGTGCGCCACCACACCCGGCTTCTCTCCTTTATTTTTACTTTTAATTCGGTAATGAAATCAGGGCTCCTTACAGGCTAAGCGAGCCACTGAGCTATATCCCCAGCTCATCCTTGTTTGTTGTTTTTTCTTTCTTTCCCTTTTATTGTTGTTGTACCGGAGATGGAACTCAAGACCGTGCGCCTGAGAGGCAGTCGCGGTGCCTCTGAGCTAAACTCCCAGCGCACCTCTTCCTTGTTTTTTTTATGGATTTCAGTGGTATCCAGAAACCCTAAAAATTATATGTAACTTTTGTCACTTTTGAAAAGTTCCCTGCCAAATATGTACCCAAAAGAAATGGAAGCAGGGACTCACACAGATACTCACACGCAGATGTTCACAGCAGCGCTGTCCACAGCAGGCCAAAGCCCGGCCCTCCGAAAGTGCGCGCTGCCGGTCCCGGACACCGGGGCCAAGGGCTGCCTTGGGCGCCACCTGCTGGGCATCACGGGACACGACACGCACCTGTAACGTCCACTTCTGCCCTGCTTTCTCCTCCACCCCTCAACATCCCAATCTGACTCCTCCACCTCTGCTTCCAGCCTGGTTCGTCCCCCTCAATTTCTGGTCCCCAGCTCCCACCCTCATCCCCCGCAGCCGCCACCAGAGGGCGCCATGAGCACCGGGTCAGGTCCCTCCCTCCTGTGTCCCTCCGCCCTCCTAGCTCCCTGAGGCCAAAACCCAGATCCTCCCTGCAGCAGTCCACTGGGCCCTGCACGCCCATCCCTTCCGGGGATCGAACTCTGGGCCTTGCGCTTGAGAAGCAGGAGGCACAACTCCTGAGCTACATCCCCGGCCCCTTGTGAGGGTCATTGCTGAGGGGCCAGCCTTGAAACCCCCCAGCACCCCATCCTGCGCGGCCCCCAGTCCCCTCTGAGTGGAGCACGTCTGCAGCATCCAGCGCAGTAGCCTTCGAGACTGCCTGACCAATATGCGTCCTCCTCATAACTGTCCTCTCTCCAGACACACCGATCCCAGGGTTCTGGCCATTTCTGGGCAGCTCCGGAGTCCTCCTTTATAAGGTGAGATGTGAACTCGGCAAACGGCTGCTGTGACGAGCCACCTCCCCGGAAAACACCGCGCTGATTGCACCGACTTTAGCCACCACAGATTGGGCACCATGTGACTCCCAGCTCCTCCCCAAAGTCAAAACGACACGAAAGGTGAACACTGTGGATCCACTCAGGCAGCCCCGACAGTGAAACTAGACACCCAGAAGTACTGCAGAAAGTGCGGGCAGGAGGGGTGCGCGTGGTGTGAGGGAGGACACGGGGGGTTCACGCCAGTGTGGCTCTTGACTGCCACAGGCTTAACTTACACGTGGTTTTCAATGTCACAGACACCTGGAGGACAGGAAGAAACTAAAACCTTCCTTGGGCTCGCCTGGCAGCCAGGTCACGTGATGCAGCTGCTGTGGGTGGGGAGCAGGGCGGGTCCCCCAAATGGTGAACACAGGATTAGCATGAGACCTGTCAATTCCACTGCTGGGTGTGGACCCAAAAGAACCGAACCCTGGGGGCTGAAGGGACACTGTACATCCACAATTAGCCTGATTCCCAGCAGCCTGGAGGTGGAACAGCCCCAATAGTGTATATGCACAGGTGAGCAGACGCAGCCTGGTTCCTTCACCTGCTGGAATATTACTCAGCCACGAAAAGGACTCTGACACCTCCTTTAGCATGCATGGACCTCGAGGTCCATGCTGCTAAGTGAGCACAACCAGACATGGGACACACATGGCGGGGTCCCATTCCCAGGAGGCCCAGCATCATCACAGACAGGAAGGGGGGGCAGGGCCGAGGAGGGGACGGGAGTCAGGGTTTCCTGGGGACAATTTCTAGGGCCATCAGTTCATGGCTGGCACCACAGAGAACGACCTTGAAGTCAGGGCCATATGAGATAGGCTCAGATCAGGCCCCAGGTGACACGAGGACCCACCTGGGGACAGGCCCACCTTCCTTGGCATCATAAATCATAAATCAGAGTGAGCCACATTTAGGAACAAAATTTATTCCAATTTAAAACAGAATTCATTTCAGGAGAAAGATATGAAAAGTCAGTTTCCCTCAGGGACCTGTGGATTCGCAGGTCAGGACCCGGCCTGCCGCGTGGACCCTGTGTCCCCCCAGGGCTGTGGGCTGGGGGCTGGAAGCCACCGTGCCCGATGCCTCCCCGTCCCCGCCCCTCAGCACATGCATTTCGTATGAGGAGAGGTTTAAAAACAGCGTCTCATAGAATAAGAATACTCTCTTAAATAGGTGAGGGTTAGGTTGTCTGAAATCAGGACTGTGTAATATACAAGCACGGTCAGAGTGTGTGCACCAGGCCGGCCGGCTGGCCTTGGACACTGGAATTGGCACAGGGACACCTGGGGAGGGTGGCCGGAGGGCAGTGGGCCTGGGGTTGGCACTGCTCTGAGGACTACTGTCCAGGCTCTCCCGAGAGCCGTGGGCCCAGGCGCTCGGCACATCGGCCCTGTGCAGGGCAGCGCCTCCAAGGGCTCACACTGCTGGCTTGAGGTGCCACCGCCCCACGTCCCATTCCCTTTTTGTGACGTCAAGGTGCTGGGCTGTGTGGACAGAGCCCCTCCGCACCCAGCCAGGCCCTGACGGGGACTTTATGGCACGGGCAGGGTCCTGCAGGAGGCAGGAGGCCCCTGGGTGTGAGGAAGTGGTCCCCGCGGCTGGCTGCCAGAAACACAGGGCCTCCTGCCGTCATCCCCGTGCCCACTACCGCTCCCTCCAGGCCTGAGGGCGGGCACAGGGTGGACACAGACGCCCGTCAAAGGCATCACTGGCAATCCGTTCCCAGTACAAGTGTGCAAAAAAAAAAAATTAAAAAGCACAATAAAACAAAAGCTATGCAGTGTAGTGTTCAGTGGATGAGAGGAGGAAAGGCTTCTCCGCCCAGAGCCTCCACGCCCAGGGCAGGTGGCCCTCGGTGTGACTCAGTGCAGAGCCCCGGCGCCGCTGCCACTGCGCTCCACGGCCAAAGTGCAAGTGCCGGCTTCACGCGCTGGGAGGGGCCCTGCACACACCTCAGGGGCCACAGGCGGCGTCCCTGCGCTCTGCTCCCGGGGACAGACCTGAGAGTAACCTGAAAATGTCCCCACCCCACCCTCGAGGCTGTCAAACCAGTCACACCCACAAAATTAAAAAATGTTTAGTTACAAAAAGGAGCAAAAGAGGCTGCTGTTCCCCTCCAAGCCCGCCTTCTCCCAGAGTCCCAGAGCCGCATGGGGTGGGACAGTCCCTCGGGGCCCGCTGTCCCCACAGGTCCCTGGAGCCACACTGGGTTCGGAGACCTGGGGGAGCACCCCAAGCAGCCGAAGGAGCCCCACAAAGGGACAGCAGGGGACAGCAACTCGGGCACCATGATGGGCTTGGGGGTCTCTGAGACCCACAAAGCCAGGTGAATTGGTTTTATACTCTTTTCCTCAAAAAAGAAAAAAAAATTAGGCACTTCCCGGGGTGGGCAGCCCGGTGCCGCCACCCCTACTTCTTGGAGTGGGGGCGCAGAGCAGGGGCAGGCGCAATAACTTAACAAGAGAGAGGAGGCGCCGGCTCCAGCCCGCGCCGTCCAGACGCAGGAGGACCGACGGGGAGAGGGCGGTGTCCCGGGCACGGGCACACTGGCGTCTCAGCTGTGCCGTTTCTTCTCGTTTTCCTCATTTTTTATAGAAAAAAATAAAGTCGAGCCACAGGTGAAGGCGGCGGCGCCGGAGGGAGGCGGCGCCGCGCGCGGTCACACCAGGTTGTACTCCTTCAGGTTCAGCTGCAGGATGGTGTCCTTGACGGCCGCGAACACGAAGCGGATGTTCTCCGTGTCGGTGGCGCACGTGAAGTGTGAGTAGATGATCTTGTCGCTGTCGGGGTTCAGGTCCACGAACATCTTCAGGATGAACTCGCGTGCGGCCTGCGCGTCCCGCTGCGGCCCTGCGGGGAGGGCGCTCTTGACCTCGGTCCGCACCAGCTCCCCACCGACCGCCCCTCTGGACCTGCGGGGCTGCGGCCACCGACTCCAATCCCCCCTTTCCGGCCTCAGCGCACCCGGTCCCTTCTCAGCCTCCCTAACCGCGGTTGGACCGCGGCGGGCCCAGGGCTGCGCGCTCACCGTCGAACTCGGGGAAGTAGTCCACCAGGTGCGAGCAGAGGATCTTGTCCTCTAGCAGGTCCTTCTTGTTGAGGAAGAGGATGACGGAGGAGTTCTGGAACCAGGGGTAGGTGATGATGGTCCGGAACAGCGCCTTGCTCTCCTCCATGCGGTTCTGCAGGAGGCACGGGCGTTGGCGCGGGAGGGCGGAGCGGGCGCCACCCACACCCAAACGGCTCTCGGCCTGCGCCCACCTCATTATCCGACTCCACCAGGACCTGGTCGTACTCGCTGAGGGCCACCAAGAACATGATGGACGTCACGTTCTCGAAGCAGTGGATCCACTTTCGGCGCTCGGACCTCTGCCCGCCCACGTCCACCATCCTGGAAGGGGTGGGGTTCAGTCCCGAGGCCCCGCCCC